TTACTATTTGTTTCTCAGAGGAATTTCATTGCTAATTTAGGAACTTCTATTTATACATCCTTATTAATATCCACTGCAGACGCTCTCTATCATCACATTTTGACACAATACATTCCATAACTGAATTATGGATTGTGTTGTACGTCTCTATGGGCAAAGACTTTCATGCAATGGGACTTGTGTCCAGTTTGAGAAATAGAGAGAGAGAGAAACTCTTCTGGACATCCCCAATGATCTTATCAGAGGCAACTCAATAAGTGAAAGTCTCAGCTGCTTCTTTATGAAGCAGTCTTGCAATTTCAGTCTATTGCTGTCACAGAGTTCTGGGCATCTCCGCAGACTGAAACAGCTGGTAGCCAGGTCTGATGCTTTTGAAGTATAGTCACCTGATATATATATTTTTTTTGACCCAAGACATTGCCCTGGATTTGACCCACATCCAGTAGCAGCAGCCTTTTATCTATGTGCTGGGAAGGAAGGAAGGAAGGAAGGAAGGCAGGCAGGCAGGCAGGCAGGCAGGCAGGCAGGCAAGGAAGGAAGGAAGGGAAGGAAGGAAGGAAGGAAGGAAGGAAGGAAGGAAGGAAGGAAGGCAGGCAGGCAGGCAGGCAGGCAGGCAGGCAGGAGGCAGGAGGAAGGAAGGAAGGAAGGAAGGAAGGAAGGAAGGAAAGAAGGCAGGCAGGCAGGAAGGAAGGAAGGAAGGAATTAAGGAAGGAAGGAAGGAAGGAAGGAAGGAAGGAAGGAAGGAAGGAAGAAGGAAGGCAGGCAGGCAGGCAGGGCAGGCAGGCAGGCAGGAAGCGAAGGAAGAAGGAAAGAAGGCAGGCAGGCAGGACGGGAGAGAAGGAAGGAAGGAAGAAGGCAGGAGGAGGAAGGAAGGAAGGAAGAAGGCAGGCAGGCAGGAAGGGAGGAAGGAAGGGAGGAAGGGAAGGAAGGAAGGAAGGAAGAAGGAAGGAATGAAGGAAGGAAGGAAGGAAGGAAGGAAGCAGGAAGGCAGGCAGCAGGCAGGCAGGCAGGAAGGAAGGAAGGAAGGAACGAAGGCAGCAGGCAGGAAGGGAGGAAGGAAGGGAGGGAAGAGGAAGGAAGGAGGAAGGAAGGAAGGAAGGAAGGAAGGAAGGAAGGAGGAAGGCAGCAGGAAGGCAGGCAGGAAGGAAGGAAGGAAGGAAAGAAGGCAGGCAGGCAGGAAGGGAGGAAGGAAGGAAAGGAAGGAAGGAAGGAAAGAGGCAGGCAGGCAGTAAGGCAAGAAGGAAAGAAGGAAGGAAGAAGAAGGAAGGAGAGTAAGGAAGGAAAGGAAAGGAAGGAAGGAAGGAAGGAAGGAAGAAAGAAGGCAGGCAGGCAGGCAGGCAGGAAGGCAGGGCAGGAGGAAGGAAGGAATTAAGGAAGGAAGGAAGGAAGGAAGGAAGGAAGGAAGGAAGGAAGGCAGGCAGGCAGGCAGGCAAGAAGGAAAGAAGGAAGGAAGGAAGGAAGGAAGGAAGGAAGGAAGGAAGGAAGGAAGGAAGGAAGGAAGGAAAGAAGGCAGGCAGGCAGGAAGGAAGGAAGGAAGGAAGGAATTAAGGAAGGAAGGAAGGAAGGAAGGAAGGAAGGAAGGAAGGAAGGAAGGAAGGAAGGAAAGAAGGCAGGCAGGCAGGAAGGAAGGAAGGAAGGAAGGAAGGAATTAAGGAAGGAAGGAAGGAAGGAAGGAAGGAAGGCATCAAGGGGCAAAGTCTGACCAAAGAGCAGGACTTCAAGGTCCTTTGAAATCCCTCTGGGTTTAAATTCCAGAGGATCCCTCATTCCAGAGGGCGTAAAATAGTAGGCAGACCCTGATACGCTTTAGGAACTCTTTATTTATTTTGTTGACTTTTGGTAACCAATGTTTGCCAAAAAGAACTCCTATGGAAAAAGCTGGTGGGATTTTCTCTGAAATACTAGTTTTTAAAATGCAAGCAGACAACAAGTATTAAATGCTGAAGCTGCGGGGGAAATCTGGGAGTTGAAGTCCAGATGTCTTAAAGTAGCCAAGGTGGGGAAAAATCACTGTTTTAAAGTAATGTAAGAAAGTTGAACTTCCATTAACTCACCTGATGTTTAGTTATGAAAGGGCTTGCATGCAAGGAAAATTGTCAGGAAGCAAGCAAGTCAAGGTAAAATTGATGTTTTTCTTTCTTTCAAAGAAAAAAATATTTTTGTAAAGGAAGACTGGGCGCTCCAGCTACTGCCTGATTCTGCTGAGTTCAGGTGACATCTAGAATCAGCTCATGTTCTGCTTAACGTTGGCTCTGCTCTTAGCCTAGGATTTGCCTTCAACATTTAGTATCGTATTTCTCTCCAAAACATCATTTAAGCTGTTAAAACTAGGGAAAGAAGGTTTGGGTTATTTTTTTTTTCTTTTGATAAAATGCAAAAAATTCCCCCCACCTCAAAAAAAAAAAAAAAAAGAAAGAAAGAAAAGAAAACAATCTTGAGTTGCTAAAGGACAAGCAACCATGAAATACAACTGAGATTTACAAGATTCAGGGAGGGGACAGATTATTTAATCAGCAATGATTCATTTGGGAGGGGAAAAAAAACCCCAGAATACAATAAGGGTGGATGAAGAGAAAAAAATTTGCAGAACAAAAACAAGTGAGCTTTCTTTTTAAAAAAAAAAGGAAAAAAAAAAGCATAAAGTCTAACTGGAGACACAAACAATCCACATCAGAGCAGTATTGAATGTGTGTCACACTCTGAATGTATATTTATATTTTAACATTCTAAAATCAGTGTGAGAACAGTGCCCTGTGCTTTTTATTTGGGTTTTTGATTGCCCCTTCTGGCTTAAAAGGAACCAAGAGAACTACTTGATAGAGGCAATGACCAGGCTCAAATATTCTCCTAAAACTGTCCTCCCCCCCCACAATAGTTCTGAGGTGGGTATATCAGAAAAGCTGCCCAGATGTTCCTCACATCAGGATGAGAATCATATCCAAGCCAGTCTCTTTGCAACGTTTTGCTGTTTCTGCACTGTTTGTATCCCAGAAGAGAGAGTCACATGGATAAAATCAAGAAAACGCAAGCACCAAATAGGCGACATTTTGAAATTTTCCTGAGTAAATGCAAGTGTTAGGAAAAGCTCACCTAAAAAAGTGCAACATACATGCGCAGGCAACACTACTTGTTTTTCTACTTCGCCAAACTGGAAAACAAAATGACGCAGATTTGCTACTGATCTTCTGATACATCAAACTTTTAATTCTCCTTGTGGGGCTGATATTCACCTGCCTCATCCTATTCTACCCAGTGTAGTTTTCGATCAACGGTCCCCACGGAAGTTAACAGCAGAGGGCAGTGGAGGAATTGTTAGGATCCTGAGGAAAGGAGCCTCTTTTTCCATCTGTGAAGGCCACATTCAGAAACCAGGAGAAATATTTTGCTAAAAGACTGACTCTCTCTCACAGCCTGGAGGCTGAGTGGCCCTGTGGCCAAACAGAAGATAACATCTCGTGCTTAAAAGAAGCTAAAACGTGTCCTAAATAAGTTAAGTGCTTCATTTGCAATTAGTCTTGAACGAATATGGTTCACAGCCCGTTTCTTTGATGCACTCAAATTACGATCACACGCTTCAGAATTCCTAGACTCAAGTATTTCATTCATTTCCCTGCTTTTTCTACAAACATTAATTAGAAATCAGCAAACAATGAACTATAATGAACTAAATTAGAACAAAAAAAAAATGAAGTGTGGCATTAGATTTCTATATACCAGATGAATTTCCCATGGTTTCTATTTAAATCATTTTAATATCAAGTATTTGCTATGGTTTTCCCAGTTGCAATGTGTGGCTGTGAAAGTTGGACCATAAGAAAGGCCGAGCGCAAAAGAATTGAGGCCTTTGAACTATGGTGCTGGAGAAGACTCCTGCGAGTCCCCTGGACTTCAAGGCGATCAAACCAGTCAGTCCTAGAAGAGATCAACCCTGACTGCTCCTTAGACGGCCAAATCCTGAAGTTAAAACTCAAATCCTTTGGCCACCTAATGAGAAGGAAGGACTCACTGGAGAAGAGCCTAATGCTGGGAAAGATTGAGAGCAATAGAAGAAGGGGACGACAGAGAATGAGGTGGCTGGATGGAGTCACTGAAGCAGTAGGCATGAGCTTAAATGGACTCCAGAAGATGGTAGAGGACAGGAAGGCCTGGAGGAATGTTGTCTATGGGGTCGCGATGGGTCAGACATGACTTCGCAACTAATAACAACTAAAATATAAAGTATTTAAATCATTTTAATAGGAAACATGGAAAATCCTCTTGTATATAGAAATCAAATGCTACTCTTCTTTCTTTTTCACTTTTTCATTTTTTTCTGTTCTAATTTAGTTTGTTCTTAACACTTCTAATACAATTTATTTCTAAATAAATAAATAGAATGTTCCCCTGAAAGAGAACCTTCATATATCTCAGATAATATGATAATATATCTACCTCGAGTGACTACTATCTTAAAAGTACTATTTATCAGGTGGGTAAAGAAAGGTTTTTATATATTCTTGTATTGCCATAACTCACGTTCATTACTATAAAAAAAGTCAGCCATTGTTTATTGTGGTTCTACAGAAATGTGGGCCATTAAGAGGTCACATTTAGTGGTTTTAATTTAAAAAAAAATTATTGTGAACAGAGCAAGAACACAAGGGAATTGCAAGACATAAGACATGTGTGCTTGTGTTTTAACATTTGACAAAGCAAAGTATTCTGTGGATGAGATGCTGGTGCTCCAAAAGCTGATCTCCACTTACTTCCCCAAGGAAATCAGACAAAAAGCAGAAGAGCAAAGAGAGAGAGTCAGGAAACAGGCAGTCTGATCAATGCAATCTCAAAGAACTTTTTTAAAAAAACAGAACAGAACCAAGTTGTCAAGTTGAGGAAGGAACAAAAGCAGAATTTAAAATATTCTGGAAGGAAATTAACATTCATTCAAGCAAACCCAATAATGGAAGAGGTTTGTTTGTTTTCTTTTTACCAAGGGGGTCAATTTGGGAAGAGATACTTACTGTGCCAGGCCTAGGATATGGAATTCGCCCATCGTATTGAACCCAGCGGTGGTCCACGCTTTCTTTGTGGGCATAATAGCCACTGAAAACTGCTCTGATGTCGGCCATACTGTAGACACAAACTGCTGAGCCCTTGAACACAGAACTGGAAAGGACACAGGCATATCATCAATCATGTTCAACAGATGCCTGAAAGCACTCACTTCAAATACAGCTGACATAGGATGAGTGTCACTTTTTTTTAAATTCCTCAAAGAATAAATTATTAATGGTAGACAGGTTTGCTTGGAAAGCAGCTTATTAACTATCATTGTTTTTTTTTTTAACTGAAATTGCAACTGGAAGAGATGGCTGCAAATGTCCCACTAATGTTTCTCAGGAATAAATTAAGCAACATTCAAGTTGGATTTGTCCAATGTATCTCGTTATTAACGAAGTCCCTCAAAAGCTGCCTCTTTCCATTCAGGGAAGTGAATTATGTCATACAGGGCACAGAGGGGTTTCTAGAGAAAATGATGGATGTGAAGATGTTTTTGAAGGGTGAAAAGCATGAAAACATTCATCTGAGCCATCCCAGTTCAAAATCTACACTTGTTTTCTCAAGTTCTCATGCCCACTGAGAATTCAGAAATTAAGATAAGGATACGGAACCATCAACCCTTATGCGAGATCTATGCAAAGAGTTTTCCTACACCAACTTTTTAAATTGTAATTTAATTTCTCAACACGGTCTTCCACGAAAGACCTTTTTGAGCAGAGGTCTGACATGATACTTCACCAAGCACTGTCTCCACCAAACTTTTCATTTGTCTCAGGTACAAATGAAAACTCTTCTGAAGGCCTATCAAGATTGGATTTTATTCACACAGCCCTTTTTGAAAATACTTTCGGTTAAATCTTGCAGGACAGAAAAGGATAAGCTGTACAAGAACATCAAGGCTGCATTCGGATGTTATGCTACATTTTTTTCTCTCCCTCAAATGCAGAGCTCAGAACTGCATTTGAGCCCAAGAGGAACCTCAGAGAATATGAGTGGTCCAAGCCCACCCAGAAAGTCTCATCCTGGGAACAGGATGGAAATTTTGATTCTTCAAAGCCAAGCCAACTCTCTCATCCCAAGACCAATTGCTTCTCCGTAGGTGGCACTGAGTAAGTCACCAACTTTGCGGCTCTCTGGGTTGGATTGTTTTCTTCCAGATGTTTCATTACCCAAACTTGGTAACATCACCAGTGCTAGTGAAACTTCTGCAAGAAAACAACTCAGCTCAGAGAGCATCAAGGACTCCACAGTCCTCCTCCTCCTCCTCCTCCTCTTCTCCGCAAGTCCTTCTTCCTTCTAGATCAGGCATGTCAAACTCGCGACATCATGTGACGTTGCGCGACGTATCGGAACTTTTTCCCCATTGCCGGCAATGGGGTGGGCATAGTTTCCTCATGATACATCCAGCCCGCAGGCCGGCAGTTTGACATCCCTGCTCGAGACTGATGATGTTACCTAGCTGGGTAATGAAACATCTGCAAGAAAACAACCCAGCTCAGAAAGCACCAAGGACCCCTCATTTCAACCTTGAGCTACAAATATTCTCCTTTAAGTCACCCATTTTCTGCCTCTCTCCTCCTTCTAGAGCTCTTGTAAAAGGTAAAAAAAATATATTTATTATAATTCAATCTATAGCCTAATATTTTTAGCATAATCCATCAAGGAAACTCTGAGGGTTGTTTTTCTTTTTTTTATTTCTTGTACAGATTTGGATTTAAGGCTTGAAATATACCTGGTGGTTGTGAAAACACCATACACCATAGGATTCCTTTCATCTCTTGTGGAAAGCAAGAATATGTCTTCTGCAATGGATAACATTATTTTGAGTTCAGATTTTATGCACTTTGCTATATGATGTTATTTCCAAAAAAAAAAAAAAAAAAACAAAGCAGGCAGGCAGGCACATGTACACACTCAGACACATATATACAACATCCATATTTTAGTTTATATGGTATTGTTTATTCCCAGGTGTACTATGTCTGTTTAAAATTACTAGATGACTTCAGTGGTAACTACCCCACGAATTGATAATGATTCATGCTTTGTGCATGGTTAAAAAATGTTTGTCTGCTCAAACTCTAAATGTGCTATTTTTTATGTTGGAATGTACTATAGACAAAAGTATAAAATTTCAAAGAGTTGAGATGATTTAAACTTCCAGCAGTTTAACTGTTGTTCTCTGAAACGATATTTTATGATTCATCGTTACTTTAGTCTTGAAATCCTTTTTTTTTCTTTTTCAGGACTGAAAAAGATGTAATTTAGCAAATAAACACAATGAGGTAACATATCACAACCTATTTTTTTTTCTCTTTTTCCTCTACCTGAATAACCCATGAATAATTCACTACCTAGCTGTTTCTAACCTTTATCATAGAAAAAAAATGAAGAGATAATTTTTCTTCATATTCTTTTCTTCCTCCAAAGCCTTGTGTGGTTTTCTACTCTTAAATCAAATAAAACATTTATAAGAAGTAATCTAAAGTATATGTTCCATTATCATTTTTTCAGTAGAAAGTCAAACATGTATTTCATGTGTTGAGATCTAGAATGTGTAAAAGAATTCAAGAATTCTTGATTGGTATTCTATTTTTAAAAAATCTGAACTCTTTATAAGTAATTTTATTTTGGAAGCTACCACAAACCCTGGTGGCGCAGTGGCAGTACTGCAGGGCTACTTCTGCTGACTGCCAGCTGCCAGCAGTTTGGCAGTTCGATTCTCATCAGTTCAAGGTTGACTCGGTAAAATGAGGAGCCCGATTGTTGGGGGCAAAATGCTGACTCTGTAAACTGCTTAGAGTGGGCTGTAAAGCAGTATATAAGTCTAAGTGCTATTGCTATTGCTACCACAATAGCACAAATTACAACTGCCCTTGCTACTTCTCCTAATATGAAACATTAATTGTACATTCTACCTTTTTGTCCAGATAAGTAGTTTGTTACTCAACAAGAAGCAGTTTCCAGGTAAGTTCTATATAACAAGATTATTCTATGAACTCTGTTTTATTCTTTTTTTCCCCTCCAAAGTATGTAAGTATATGACTTCTCTTCCAAGGCAAATAGATCAGGTTTTCCTAAATTCACACTGCTGGCTTCACCGAACTCTGCACTCTACAGTTCCATGATTGAAGAAAAGAATCAGTTACAACTGAAATTCACTTACGAAGTTCATCAAAATATGTATCAGCTCCCTCGGGACCTGGGATGGAGCAAACCAGCCTTGCTTTCAAGAATGTTGTCCACTTGTTGATCAGACTGCGTTGACCTCCTATGTCATTCTAAAAAAGTGAGAAAAGTATAACTTTTTTTAAAAAAAGTTACTGGTTAACAGGAAGACTTAAGTCATGTGAAGAGAGGGCCAAATTTGCAAATGGTCAGTCCATCTAAAAACTTATAGTGAAGGAGAATTCCCAGTAGAATGTTTCTCAAACTCAGTAACTTTAAAATCTGTGGATTTCAACTCCCAGAATCCCTAGGTAACAATGATGGCTGGGGAATTCTGGGACATCAAGTCCATACATCTTAAAGTTGCTAAAATTAAGAAGCACTGCAGTCTGTTCCAGGGTTGACCAGCTCTTCCTGACATCCAACCAAAATCTTCCTTGGAATTTAAAGTCATAATTTCTTGTTCTATCTCTTCAACTATTCTGTCCCATCTGGTGGTATCATACAAAATTTAACAATTTTCCAGTTGACTCAAAAGAACATGACTTTATTTCTTGGCATTTTGCCCCCAAAATTCAACAATATAATTTTTGGGAGGAACTACAAAACAAAAAAAAAAAGAAGTTGGGAGTTGCAAGTTGTTATTGAAAGACCAATATTCATGAGGGCTCACAAACAAACAGGTTCAGTTCAAGAAGTTTTAGATGTTACCAGACTACTCGGAAACATCTGGTTATGCTGACATGAAGGTGGGACTTGGAAACATCTGGAAAGCTCTCCGTTGGCGATGCTATAATCTATATAAAGCTATTCTTGGCAACCCAGCAGCAGTTCTTATCTTTTCACATATTCTAAAGAACATCACATTAGTAAAAAAATGTTCATTTTTTAAAATTACTTCCTCCCCTTTTTAAAACTGTATTTACACCACGGGCAGCTGATGAAAATCAAAAAGTCCTGACTGATCCTCCTTGGAATGCACAGATATAATTTGGCTGATGAAGTGATAAACTTCCTTTGTGCACCTTTCATAAAATGCAGGAAGTTGTTCCTTTAGCTGAAACAGGGGGGTCCAGGATTTTGACTTTCCATTTAGTCTCCAGCTGGATCAATTATGACCACAATGAATTTGTTAGCCTTTTTAGGTTTCAAAAACTTGCCATTTCTGGAACCTTCTTTTCACTAAAAATAACAATTTTATTAGCACCCACCACTTATTAAACTCTTCCACTGTAACAGTATACTTCGCCTTGAAGTGCCTTGCTTGGCAGCACAAGGAAATAGCAATAAAATCTCTGTTTATCTTTGCACTTGGATCGTAGAAACCTACATAAAGATTGTCAAATGGGAGGAAGATCATTTACCTTGAAAGATTGTTTACAGTCAATGAATAATCACATTGAAAACTGGAGCCTTCTCTTGAACAAAAAAAAGAGAATAAGAAGCAACTCAGGATAATTATATCTCTGAGTAAGCTCTCCTAGTAATACACAACAAAGTCTCCTGTGCAACTTTTTAAGATTAAACAAAGTTTGATGAACCAGACTCCAGGTTTTTGCTGCAACAAGTCAAATGGTTATCATTCTAGAAATTGTTTCAATAGAAGACCTCTTAAAGTATTGCTCTAGAAAGACATTTAATTACATTGTAGACCACCAAGTATCAATGCATAATCCCTTTTTATAAATCAGCAGAAAACAGCTGCAGGAAATTTTGCTAACTTCCTATAGAAAGCATGTTTCAAGGGTCTTTTTAAAAAACAGTTTTATTTAATGTTTCATATGCTTTATATTCAACCCTCAGTGACATCTAGAAACAGATTCCTGTAAAAAGTGCAACTTAAATCTGGAATCCAACATTTTTTATACTATATTGAATTGACAGCACTGTACTATAAATATATATGTGTGTATGTATATTTAACGAACAATTATTTTCCCCTTTGGAAAAGTTTGAATAGCAAACTTCCTTGTGCACAAAGAAAGGAGAATTTCGAAGATAAGAAGTTTGAAAATTTGCTATTATATAGTAATTCCTACAAGAAAGAAAACACAGTAAAATTTATTACTCAGATTGATGAATTAAAAAGAGAATAATGGAGAATTCAGCTCATTATCAATTAATCTGCACTTTTCTTTGGTCTGTGTAAGGTTACATTATCAATGGTGGAAATATATAGATCATCATGACTTCTACTCATGATTGCATGCTTTACAATTTTCCTTCTGCAGGACGATATGATAGCAATACAAATGCATCAACAGTATTGATCATTATTATTTTATTCTTTTTCATCGACCTTTTGTTATTCTTTTTCCCCTATGCAAGTGAAAGGTGGCATACATAGGAAATTCTGCTTATTTTATCCTACAAAAAGAACCAGGTGAAGTTATTGGGTTAACTGGCAGAAAGCCCATGGTCATTTAGGGCTTGAATCTGAGTCCTTCTTCAGTTTAAACACTCTATTATATTATATCCAAGAAATCACAAATCAGATGTTATTCGATATAATGTTTAAATTGTAGAAGGATTCAGATCCAAGCCCTCATTGACTGTGATCTACAGGATGACAATCTGTGCATGCTGAAGCTCCACCGAGATGGAAACTGGATCCCACAAAAACACAAAAAAATTGACTGGAGCACAGTAATGATAATGCCAGACAGATATTCCAGCTAAAGAGATTGTTCCTAGCCAACTAGATTTATATAACTAATTTTCCAAGCTTGGGACCCATCTTCCAGTCTTGTCCTTTAATATCAATGACCTTTGATGATAGAGACTATTCAGGTGTTCATGCATGCATTCTTTATTTTCAGTTAAAATGAACAATGAGAGGTCCTTAGTGTTCTCTGAGCTTGGTTGTTTCCTTGCAGATGTTTCATTAACCAAACTAGATAACCTCATCAGTGTTAGTCTAGTCTAGTTACTAGCACTGAAGATGTTATCTAGTTTGGGTAATGAAACATCTGCAAGAAAACAACCAGGCTCAAAGAGCACCAAGGATCCCTCATTTCAACCCTGAGCTGCAAACATTTCTCCTTTATTGAAAGCAAACGGTGCCGTAATAATTTATAAGAGTAACCATGACAAAAGGGGATCCTCTGAACAAAACTCAGTTCACCTCTGATCATGTTTGAATAGGAATTTCAGGTTCTTGCTTGGAAACATTATAAAAAATGATTAATTCATCAAAGCCAAAAATGTTGCCGAGGACCTAGAAAAGCAATGGTGCATTTAAAGTCAACAGTTTTATGGGGCTGATAAAATGAAAGCCTCTTTTTGAATTCTTTAACAGTGGACTTACCAAATCTGATTAGTATGTAAAATAACCTATCTTTTTATTTATTTATTTTTTTTAATTTTTATGGGTATCCCTGGTTAAGTTAGGTATGCAGAGTAAAGTTGAGGGATATTTATGTGCAGTTTCTTTTCTTTTTCTTTTGATTTCCACTTCTTCTGCCAGGACTTCACTGTGATTGATGTTCCTCACATGCCTGGTCATAGGCACTAATTAATAAGCCACTTACTCAAACTCCACTTGTAATCCAGGCAGACTTACACAGCTGCTCAGCATAATTACTGCTTTTAAAGTGTAGTATATTTGCATCTTGCCCTATGTCTTCCACCTTAAATGATGTCCAAAAGTTCTGGTTTAGGCTGCTTTTTTTCCGGATATGCATCATCTTTATTTATAGCCAGATTTAGCCTGCTGCAAGTTGCAGATGTGCTCTTAAATCTCGTTTTGACATCTTTCTTTGCTTTTTTTTATGATTTGAAAAGTGTGCATCCTATCTTTTGCACAAGTACTCTTTTTGTTAAATCTAGTCAGCACAGTTGTTTTGATGGTTTGCTTTGTAATAGTAATAGTAATAAAGTTGGAAGGGTCCTTGGAGGTCATCTAGTCCAACCCCCTGCTCAGGCAGGAAACCCTACACCATTTCAGACAAATGGCTATCCAGTCTCTTCTTTAAAACTTCCAGTGTTGGAGCATTTACTGCTTCTGGAGGCAGGCTGTTCCACTGATTAATTGTTCTCACTGTCAGGAAGTTTCTCCTTAGTTCTAGGTTGCTTCTCTCCTTGATTAGTTTCCACCCGTTTCTTCTTGTCCTGCCTTCAGGTGCTTTGGAAAATAGCTTAATTCCCTCTTCTTTATGGCAGCCCCTGAGATATTGGAATACTGCTATCATGTCCCCCCTTGTCCTTCTCTTTGTTAAACTAGACATACCCAATTCTAGCAACTGTTCCTTATATGTTTTAGCCTCCAGTCCCCTAATCATCTTTGTTGCTCTTCTCTGTACTCTTTCTAGAGTCTCAACATCTTTTTTACATTGTGGTGACCAAAACTGGATGCAGTATTCCAAGTGTGGCCTTACCAAGGCATTGTAGAATGGTATTAATACTTCACGTGATCTTGATTCTATCCCTCTGTTAATGCAGCCTAGCACTGTGTTGGCCTTATGAGCCAGCAGTGTGCTGCAGCTGCCAAAAAGGCAGTGTTTTTGTGTTTTGTGTTTTTGTCCCACTGCAAAAGTAGCAACCTTTTGGGTTGTGTGCAAATGGAGACAATGCATTTCATGTGCTGGACACTTCTTTCTGGGCATCAGTAACTTTTAGAAACTCACTTAGCTCTTGCTAAAATTTCTCTGGAACAAACACCAAAGAAATATGGGAAATGTTCAGTCAGATGAAGCATTCTGAGGAAAATCAAATGTCTGTGCATCTTTGAAGCCTACAAACACGTTCAGATATGAAGCTATCTGTTTTTTTTAGGTATCTGCCAAGCTTCCCATGAGAAGATCATTCACACCCATTTTCTCCTCCTTCTTCTTCTTACCTTCAAGAGAAACCAGATGATTCTTGATACCTTAGCAGATAACAGCACTGAGATGATACTGTTTGCACTCAGAAGCTCATCTCTAAATCTAGTGTTGAATGTTAGCTCAGGCTGTCAAAACACACCCCAGAAGAAGACAGTGGCAACCATTGTTGCCAAGAACACCGCATGGACATGTCGGTGAAATCCTCAGGATTTCAGCCTGCCTTAAAAGAGGCTTTGTGAGACTGAATGTGATGGATGCTCCCTTGATGAGTGAGTAATGAAGGCAGATAG